TCTCTGGCTTCCCCATGGTCTGTCTGACAACAATCATTGGAAGTAAGGTGAGCAGCTGCGGCCATTGTGGGAGTTCACATGGCAGGGAACCTGATGTGTGACATGGAGGCCTAGACTCTATTACTAAGAGTGTAGGTAATGACAGAAAACTTTATTGCTGGGAACAAAATGCCTTTGTTTCCCAGTTCTTGCCCTTTCCCTGCTACAACAACTGTTCTGAAGATTTGGTGTCACCATTCTGCTGTTGTATGTCTTAGGTGATGCCTCTCAAACGTACACGTGAAGAAATAAGCCCCACTTTCAGTAAAAGAAGATAGAAATGCGGATGAAGCCATTATTAGCACAGATGTCCTTGAATTGGACATTCTGAGTTGTCCTTAAAAATGTCTGTCTTTATTTCACATCTTTATTTAAGCCACATGCAATTTCAATATTTTTAACCCTGGAAATTGCAGTCATTGCTCCCAAGATGGGTTGTGAACCCACACAGGAACATTCTAAATCAGAAACCAGGTCTGTCTGCTCAGTGTTTGCACTGTTCCTAAGGGTTTTCTATCCATGGGAAGGGGTAGAGTTGATTGTTGAATTAAGTTTTCAATAGGCCCGAGGCCCAGAGGACTAGAAGTAATAGTCACCACCTTCACTAGTGCTCCTATCAAAGGGAAAAAAAATCAATTCTAAGTAATCTTTATCTTCCTATAGTTTAATTGGGCCCCTTGCATATGATTCCTATACAACTATATTATTTCAATTTTTAAAAAACCATGAAGCTATAGGATCCAGACATCACTGATCAAAAAAAATTACTGACTTGAAGATTCAGAAATCCACTTTACTAAGTCTCTGCTGGCAACTCAACCGACAGCTTTGACAAAAGTGTGCCTCAGACTTCTCCTTATGGGGGGTGCGAACATTTCTGTGCATTCATTTCTTCAGAGAGAAGTCCTGCCGCAAGTTCAAGTCGCAACAGCAGATCAACCATTCATCCCACGCGTGTTCTTAGCAAGGCTTGATGCTAAGGGCTTCGGCTTGTTTGAACGGAAGAGCTTCCTTGTCCTAAATTGGGAAGGGGTTGGTGGGTCAGTAGGCATTGGTTGAGGCATCTTTCAAAGCAAGTTCTAAACTTCAGACACCGAATGAGTGAGGTTCGGTGGGGCTGGGGTGTAGTTCAGTGGCAGGGCTCTCGCTTAATGTCCCCAAGTCCCTGGCTTTGCTCCACAGCATTGTAAACAGAACCCCAAACCAGAGGGAGCTTGCAGAGAAGATGTGGGTACATTTACTGTAGGTTTTCCGAATAAATCTGAGGGGGGAAGCCAGATGGGTGACTAGGCAGCTGGCCCGAATGTAGTCTGGGACATGGCCTATGCGGATATTTCTTCACTAGACAGTGTTTTCTTATTTTCTCCATGTGGGGGCAAACTTTTAAAAAGCTGACAGATAGGAATAGTATTACAAAGATGCCTGCTGGGTGAAAAACTCCACAGTGCTTCGTGCTCTGTGGGGCACACTTTAGCTCCCTTAGTCGCTGCTTATGGCAGTGCCTGGTTTCTGAGGTCAAGCTGAGGAAAAAAGAAACTGCTGGCTTCACAGTATGGCAAAGTTTTATAACACTTATGCTTGAAAAGGAAAACCTTAGCATTTGGTTACATGAAGGAACTGATTGTTATAAAGCACCCTCCCATTCGGGCTTTTATTAACCAATTTATTTAGTTATCTGAAGATTGATATGCTCAGATATAGGTTTATCCTGTTTATGTAAGGGTATATTAAAAATAGAAGTATCCTCTGTACCAGGATTAAGTCAATAGTTGCATATAACAAAAGAAAATACATAATTTATTAAATCTTACATTTCTTATCTTTTCTGTGTTTCTTTTAAATGTTTATTATTTATTCATTTAGTGCATGCGTGTGTGTGTGTGTGTGTGTGTGTGCGTGTGTGAGTTTGTATGTTGTATGTATACCCCCATGTGTGCCAAGGTACATTTGTGGGGGTCAGAGTATAGCTTACTGAGTCAGTTTTCTCTTTGTACCCCTCAGGTCCTGGGGATTGACTCAGGCTCTCAGGTTTGGTGGCATGTGCTTTCACCCACAGCCATTTTGCAAGATGGGGTCTCATGTAGCCCAGGCTGGTCTTAAAGTTGCTATGTGGATAAAACTGACATGGAAATCCTGACCCTCCTGCTTCTATCTTCTAAGTATTGGACTCGCAAGTGTGTACGGACTCACACACGTAATAGCACCTTTCCCTTTGTCAGATTTCTGACAGAAGCCCCAGTGACCTGTGGACATTTACAGCTCAGAGAGTGCAAGATTGCTGGTAGGTCACACATAAGAAGACACAATTTTCACACTTTCAAGAAACTTCTCTAGAGTAGCCATATAGCTACCATAAAAAACAATGTATTCTAGTTCATGCAAAGATGGGAATTCTCTCAAATGGAAAATGTAGGCTAAGAGTTGAGGGTGGCCTTGCTTATTAATGTAGAAGATGATAGGCAGTTTTTGGTTAGCAAGATAGAAGGGGACAAAGAAGGGTGCGACTCCATAGCAAACTGGAAGGTATGGGATACGGAATAATTTATCCAATCTATATTCTCAGCCAATATACTTAAAGTAGAGTGTGCCCATTCATTGGGAATAAGCCAAGCCAAGGGGAAAATCCACCCACACCCATGGGACTGTTGATTAGGATACAATTGGAGTAATAGCAGCAAAGTGTCTTTCAAAACAGGAGTTGACTGCTCTATTCGGGGAGGGCAGATTTTCACATTACATTTTAAAAATAATGGAATAGAAATTGGACAGAGGGCATGTGTTTGAGAGGGGGAATGCAGATATTTAAAAAAGAATTCCTGAGACAGAGGGTACTGGATCTGATCCCACCAAGAAATTCCCACCCCCCCATCACAACTTAGTTCCATAAAAGTTTTTGTAAGCAAATAAAAATCTGAGAAGGAATGAATCCAAGTTATTTGAGAAGAGCTACAGGTGGTGGTGGGGTGCACAGGGAGGATGGAGGGATGGTGGACAAGACAGGACAGACAGACGACAAGCTTCTGCCATCCCAGGTTCCGTGAGGTACTTCCGACAATCTAGTAACTGCACATTAATCAAACACCCTTTTCAAAGTGTAAGATCAATCATGAGAATGGGATCTCACGCGTCTGACTATGAACGGTGCTGACTTTGAGACAAAGTAGACCAGATTCCTGGGAAATAGCGCCCGGAGCAACACAAAAGCAGAAGCTTCCACGCATCTTTCATTTCTCTTGCTGAGCCTGTGAAACTTAAGACATTCATTTTCACGCTATGTTTGCAAGAAGCTTGCCAAGGCAGCATCTCTCAGACACTCCTTAAAGACGGTGTGCAGGGGGAATGTGCGCATGCACACATGTGTTTGCAGTGTCTGAGTTCTGTTGTTTCCAGGTCCACAAAGTGTGATTTTGCAGAGTGTAGATACAACCTCCATATTTCACTCCCTCTGCTGTGGCCTGCTAGTTCCGTGATTTAATATGTGAATGTCCAGTAACAATGGAGCGAAAGCCATCTGGACAGGCATAGGAGAATGTGTGACAGCGACTGGTATGAGGGTGATATGTTTTCTGTGTTTTAGGAAAAAAGAATGATGCATAGAAACTGTGGATCCCACATGCCTGCTTTCAACCAGTGGGTCCTCCTGAGGCTGTACTGAACTCTAGATGTGGCCTGTGTGGTGGGTCACTGTTGAATTTTGAAAACCAATGTTGAGAATAACTAAGGCACTAAGTTAGTTGGTAAAGGAGCAATCCAAAATGTATCTCAAATTGTGTGTGGTCTTCATTCCCTTGAAGAACAGCCCCCAGAATATTCATAGAAAAAAAGTGTAGGATAGTAGTCACCTACTTAAAATTTTCCAGCAGGGTATATCCCCACATTATAAGTAGCCTTGGGGTTTTTGTTTCTGTTTTATGTTCTTTCCCTCTTGAGAAATACATCCTAGCTACTAGGAATGGGAAGAATGGAAGTTAGTTATCTATCCAGCAGAGACTCGAAGTCTAAGAGGGTGAAAGAGAACAGCCTCCTGAACTGAATGTTCTCTCAAAAGACAGACAACATGGAGCACTCTGCACAGGACTCACTTCCTTGGTGCTGCATGGTGGGGTGAGGTGCTTAGCTGTGGTGGCACTGTGGTGGCTCTGAGGCATGGGTTGCTGGGTCAGGCAGGGCTCCACTGATGCTGGTGCATAGCAGACAACCTGGGAGTCTTCCAATCAGGCAATAAAATCTGATATTCTTAAAGCACAGCTCTCTCCGGCATGCTGTATCTCTTTCTCTCTCTGTCTCTGTTTCTCCACATCTCTGTCTCTGTCTCTGTCTCTCTCTCTGTCTCTGTCTCTCTCTCTCTCTCTCTGTCTTTTTCACTGTTGTTGTTGTTGTTGTTGTTTTGATTTTGAGACAGGGTCTCTCTCTATAGCCCCAGCTGTCCTAGAATTCTCTACATGGCCTCCAAAGATCTTCCTGCCTCTGCCTCCCAAGAGCTGGTATTAAAGGCATGTACCACCATGGCCGGAGACTCCTCCAGGTCTCTTGACTTGTTTAAACACCCAGTGAGGCAAGAGATAGAAATAACAGGAAGGAACTGGGGTGGTCAGTAGGACTGGGAACAGCCATTCTGCATTCAACGAGCCTGGGTAAGGAACTCTTTTTGGCATAATAAAACCAAATCTCTGGAGATGAAAGTAAACAAATGAGACTATTTATCCCTGCTCTAAAGACACATGCACACACTGATCCTTAAGGTCTGTTTGCACAGCATCTGTGTGTGTTATTATTTATGTCACGGTGACCAGGTATCATGTTCCACTTAAATGTCCACAATCCAGATTGTCACCAGGACCAGCTCCCCCCATCATCTGTGTTTGCAGATATAAAATTTACCCTTAGATTCTTGGGGAGTACTTGGTATTGGTTCTATCAGGATACCGAAGAGATTATTTCAAGAAAAAGATTATGCAATATAATGCTTAGCATTTATATAGGTTCTTTTGATTTCAAAAAACAACTTATAAATATCGCCTACCATGACAGCATCCTTGCGAGGTAGGTGAGTATTATTGTCTCTATGTTAACTATAGAAACCCGAGGCCAAAGAGTGAAGGACTCTGTTCTGAGTTTGGTGGCAGGAGCCAGAGTGGGTGTGGGCATCTTATCCACTTGCTCTAGGTTCTGAAGAGGTCACACCTCTCTCATGTAGCAACAGTCTTCATTAATACAGGATTATATATTGTAGAGATATAAAACAACAACACACAATGACATTATAGAACAATAATCCAATATTTCTGTTTCTTAGTAAAATATGTTAAGCACAGTATTTAAATTGCATTTGTCTGAAAAGCATTTGGTATATTAAATAGCAGAAGGTATATTAAATAGCTCTATAAACATTTGCTGGCATACTCTTAATAGCATAATAATTCTAAATAAATTAAAATCCACCGACGCATAGAGACCTTTCCTTTGTAATACTGTTAACCAGACACAAATGTGAAGCAGTTTTTTTCTCTAAACGCAGACTTAATGGTTTGCTGAACATTAGCAGGGGCACTTCATTTTTCTAAGCTTGAGGAAAGTATGCATATATAAGATATATATATGCACATACATACATACATACATATATGTACATACATATGAGATACCTGACTGTGGTTTTTAAAATGACCAGTTTGGGAGGGAAGAAGAATGTAGTTGAAAGGTGAAAATGAAAGACTGCTATTTCTATATTGTATGCATTCTGGGGAATTCATACCTTTCCCAAAGATATTCTCACATTTTGAACTAGTGCTGAGGTGAATACAGGGATGCTACAGAACAAGATAGACTGATACCAAAGAGAATCTGTGGTATCAGAAGACAAGGGAATAAAGCTGGGTGTTTTTCAGGAGTCCTGAAGACTGGCATGAGATGAGGGTGTCTGTGTTCAGCTGCCTGAGTAGGACTTGGAGATGGTTTATTAGGGCAGAAAGTTGGGTCTGCCTTTACCATCTCCTGCCTTCCTCTAACTCCAGGATTCAGCAGTATTAAAGGATAGGGCTAACCTCGATCTAAAACCTGTACAGCTGGGCCAGCAGAAAAGGTTCTAAAACCAGTAAGAAATAGGAGATAAGAACCGAGTCTTAAAATCTGTATGCTGATGTTAAAAACTAACTCCTACAATGCCAGAATGACATTCTCTGTTAGAGCTCATAGATACAAAAGGCTTAAATTTAATATATGGTGCCAAGATGTTGTTAGCTAGATATTACATGTCATTCAGAGAATATTTTTAATAAGTGTGCTTTTTATTTCTCCTTAAAAAAAGACGTAGTAAATTGTTATCCTTCCTCTAGTCCTTTCTGCATTAGGTCTGCTGCCTTGCTTGTCTGTCAGCCAGCTATGCACTCAAGGGCTCCCTCCCGGTGGTGTTGTAAGTGGCAGGTTGGTTGGAGGGAGGCTTGAGTTTGGACAGGTTTGAGCAGTTCGGCTGTTTGGTTGGCTGTAAGGATTTGGCATAAGGTGAATACCAGTCTCTTTCAAACACATCTTTAAGTTGCTTAATGATGCTTCCATTGTCTCTCACATCTGCCTGGTTGATGACAAGGCCCGTGCCAGCATTCTGGGTAAAGTCGTTCCCTACCCAGTCAAAATTTCCTGCAAACAAAGAAATCATAGTGAGAAGGTATGATCAACTGAGAAAATTCCCAATATATGAAATACAAACAATAAAATAAAAAATCATAAAATAAACACCCAGGAATAACAAGAGAGGCAGAATCGTGTTGACAGCTCCAGAGGAAAAAAAATTGCAAGAAGCCCTACATATGGCAGATTAATATTTGCATATTATTTTGGCATTTTCTTCAGCTTTGCTCAAGTTGAAACTCAAAACAAGGAATCTGCTGCTCTTTTTCTGTAAATGTTATTTCTTATTGATGTTCACAAGACACACCAAATACAGCAACATTTAAAATATATAGGAATACTTTAAAATCCTGTGAACAATTACTACCTTCTCAGAGAGACAACATCGAATCCATATGTATAAACATTATTATGCAGAGACACTTCACAATTGTGACAAAGCTGAAGGCAGAGAAGTGACTCCAGCACTCCCCAAGGAGGCTGGAAGGCATCCCCCAAGGCAGGGAGTTGGTTTCTTGGCCAGATGTGAGCACAGGTTCATAGGTCTGACTCCATTCTAGATAGATGTTTTCCAGGACAGTTTTCATGAAGTATCAGAAACCAGTTGGTTTAAATAGTAGAAATGTATTCTCCTGATTTTGGAGACAAAATCAAGGTTGGTTCCTTCTGGGAGCTAAGGGAAGTGTGATGGCTAGTATGTGCTGCCAACTTAACACATCTAGGAAGGACTACCTCTGGCCATGTCTATGGGGCATTTGCTTGACTGCTAATTATGTAAGAGGGTTCTGTTTATTGTGGGCATTTCCTCTGGGAAAGTAGGCCTGGTCTGGACAAGAGAGGCCATGAGCCTAGGATCAAGACAGTAAGCAGTATTACCCTTGTGGTTAATGGTTCAAGCTCCTGTCTTGACTTCTGGCCTTGACTTCTCTTGATGGTGGACTTAATCTGTAAGCTGAAACAATACCCCCCACACACACCCAGGAAATGGGGTGGCCCTTTCTCTCTGTCTCCCCATACTGTCTTTCCTCTATGGGTACCCTTATTTAGCCCTCTTCCTGATTTTGCTTTTGAAACAGGATGCTACTATATAATTCATGCCGGCCTCAAACTCACAGCAGTCCTTTCCCTTCAGCCTTCTGAGATCTGGGATTACAGGCACAAGCCACTGTGCACAGTTCTTCTGTGTTTTGGTCTCGTTTTAAAGGACATGGGCCACATTAGGTTAATGTCTACTTTAATAACCTGACTTGGGAGTGATTTTCCTTTTTCACATTCTTTCATATAGGGAATCAGGACTTTAGCATATGGATTTTGAGGTTGAGATCATTTCAGGAGAGGCTGATAATGGCTTTGCCACTAATGCCTAATCCATCTTCAAGTCTGTGGTGGTTTGAATGAAAACAGCCCTCATAGACTCATACATTTGCACGCTTAGTCCACAGCTGATGCGCTTTCAGGGAAGGATTAGTAGATGTGGTCTTGTTGGAGGAGGTGTGTCACTAAGGGTGGGCTGTGAGATTTCAGAAGCCCATACTTGGCCCAGTGTCTTTCTCTCTGTGTCTGCTGTCAGAGGATTGGGTTGTAAATCTCTTAGCTCCTTCTCTAGCACTGTACCTATTTGCATGTCACCATGATGAGAATAGACTAAGCCTGTGGAATTGTAAGCAAGTCCCCAATTTAAATGCTTTCTTTATAAGATTTGCCTTGGTCATCGAGTCTCTTCATGAACTAAACATGAACTAAAACAAAGGTACAGGAAAGGGCCGAGCAACCCTAAGATCCCATGTATGTTTCTTTGGTATCTAATAAGCAAAACCAAGCTCTGTCCTTAGAATGGGACAGTGGTGTTTACTTCTTGGATCTTCCTTATCCCGTGTTGTTCACTGAGCACCCAGTGTTTGCCAGGTCTGATATGAAGAATGTGGGTATAAATCTGAAAATGACAGCTCCTGCCTTCAAAGAGTCAATGAGAGAAGCAGTCACTAGAACACAGATGGTAGGAAGGACACACCAGGATTTCACATGCAGGGCCACAAGCACCGAGAGGCGGCTTTCTACCCTTGACTAGATGTGTCAAGAAGAAACACATTGAATGTTAACAAGGACAAGTGTTGGGGAAGTCCTGTGCATTTGTCAATAAAGCACTGTCTGGCCAATAGGGAATCTAGATAGGAGGGACTAGGAGTCCAGAAGGACTCTGGGTAGGAGAAACACAAGGAGAGTCAACATGTAACGCCATGGGGTAGGAAGCCGGGAACTATTCTCCGGTAAGAAACATACTTAGATTAACAATTATGGGGTAATTACTTAAGTCAGAGCTAGCCAGTAAGAAACAAGCAAGGCCAACAGCTTCTGTGTGTTTATTTGGGACTGATGCGGCTCTAGAACCAGGCTGGCAGGAAGGCTTCCCTCAAAGAAAAAGCTTCTCTTTACAGACAAGAGATAACCAAACTCTCAAAGAAGGGTGATATATTTTGGGCAGAGAAAAGGTTGGGAGTTTGGAATACTAGGGGATGTGGTCTAGCTGCAAGAGAGTCTGGGAGGAGAGCAACTATGATTTTCTGCCTGTTTTGGGCAAAGCACAGTACTTGTGTTTATATACAATATTTTGTATGATGGGAAGAATTTACCATGATGGAGGAGATGTTCACAGAGGTTCCTACATTTGTCCCATGTTTCATGGTTAACCAATGATGCTTCACAGAAAACGGTTGGAGCTGGGGTTCAGAGTCAAATCTAACTCCAGGTCCAACGCTTCACTTCTGTGTCATGTTGCCTCTGGCCCTAAAGGCACCCACTTCCTGCTTTGCCCTGGACAGTGACCTCAGCTTGGACTTTGGGTCATGGCAGCCACACTGATATTTCTGCTACGGGCATTGGCAGATCAGCTTTTCTGGAGGAAACAGACACAGACAAATGTGTTGGGGGACACCCTAGGAGGAGAAAGGAGGATGGAAAGAAGTGAGGACTTTGGGGCCTTATCCTGTAAATCTAGTTTTTTCTGCCATCAGTGAGCAAGCTGAGATCAGGGTGTTTGTGAATTTCAAATGCTTTAGTTGGCTTCTTTTCGATAAAGCTCTGGGAAGCTTCATGCTGATACAGGAATTTTGGCTGACCTTCAAGGTGACATATGCTTCTATATTTTTTTAAGCTGAGCTACAATTTCACCTGTTATTTTTTTTAGATGATTTCAGCTCCCAAAAATGCACAGTAAGGTCGCAATATTCGGAATATAGTGTGTCCTGTGTGTATATGCGATGTTGAGGCTGCCAAAGAGCTCACTTTGTTGGTAGGCAGCTTTGGGCATCTTGCCAACATCTTCAATTAACCTCCTGCCCTGTCCTTAGCTGTCTAATCACTCAGACACCTTCCTGACAAATTTTCAGAGCTTAACTCAGATTATTATGGAGAATTTAAAATGAGAGAGATGACGCTTCCTGAAGATTCTTCTGGAAGTCTCATACAAACTTAATGGAGCTATGATCCCATGCCCTGGGAATTTTCTTAGTTCTACATCATCAATGAGTATGGAAGGAATGATTTAGAAGGTTTCAGAGTATGCCCATGATTATTTAAGGTATCGGTTATTTTCCCTTTTGATGTTCTTTGAGTGTTTTTATGCTAGAACACTGCTTCTGTCTAGGAAATCAGTGTTTTGCTAAAACTGCTGTCTATAAAATGAACTCACCTAAAAATGTCTTAGTTCAGGAAGAGGAAGGGAGCAAGAATCCAATGTTTACTCAGACCCCAGATCCACCAGAGACAGTGTAGAGCCTTTTATATATTATCTTATTTAACCTCACATTGCCATTAGAGGGTGAGCACTATTATGCCCCTTTCACAGATAGGGAAACTGAGACTTAGAAGAGATTACATGACTTGTTACTATCTTTCAATTTGTGTCAGATTTTTCTGATTCCAAACACTAATTTAGTTTGTTCAAGGAATGTTTGAAAATCAGATGGGCCATTTTGAGATCAGTAAACATTAGTTAATAAGCTACTGCCTCAAGTCTGGTCTTGGATTGAGTTCTGTCTTCCTCTTTGGTTACGGTGTCACTGAAAGTGCACATGGTACCTCACTTTAAATAAAAGCTACAATAAAAGGTTCTGCTTTTCTTCCACTGACAGAGAGGCTGAGAAACAGGAAAGAACCTAAGAGATATGCATGGTACCCCAGAGAAGAGGAATGAGGCAAGATCTTCTGAACAGATGGGGAACACGGCGAGGGGTGGGGGGGAGTGGAGCTGGGAAGAAGAGAGGGAGAGAAGAGGAAGAGAGAGTCGGTCATGGGGGAACAGGAAGGTTGAGTGGGGGTTAGAATGGGGGAAGAGGGAATCATAGGTTAGAAGACAGATCAGGCACCATTGTGACCTCTAGTGATCAAAGGGATGACACCAACTGGCAAGCTAAGCAATAGTGGAGAGACCACCTTGAATGCCCATTCCTGATAATGAACTTGATGTCTATAACCATCCTGGAGCCTTCATGCAGTGACTGATGGAAGCAGAGGCAAACACTCACAGTTAAAACACTGAACTGAACCCAAGGAACCCAGCGGCAGAGAGAGAGGAGCGAATAGCAAATTGGCAAAGAATGGGCTGGCAAAACCAGCAGAGACAGCTGATCTGAACAGGGGAAAGCTCTTGGACCCCAGACCGACAGCTGGGAAGCCAGCATGGGACTGATCCAGACCCCCAGAGTGTGAGAGTCAGTGAGGAGGCCTGGGCAACCTATGGGGGGCCCTGAGCAGTAGATCAGTATTTATCTTTGGCATACAAATGAATTTCGTGTGTCCATAACACAAAGAGGGATGCTCTCTCAGCCTAGACTCTTAGGGGAGTGCCTGGACCCTGCCTTGAATGAAATGACAGACTCTAGATATCCCCTATGTGGAAGGAATTGGCAATAGGGTGGGAGGCTGGGGGGGAGGGAAGATGGGGGGATGTGGGAGGAGGGGAGTGAGAGGGAACTGGGATTGACATGTAAAACAAGCTATTTAAAATTAAAATAATAAAAAAATTTAAAAAATAATAAAAGGTTCTGCTTTGGGGTCTTAAGCCACTGTGTACATTACTGGATTCATCCCTAAATTTTAGATAATTTAGCCAGACTATCCCATTTTTTTAGTAAACAATTCTGAAGGATTTTGTCACTTGTTTTTAAAGTTTTTGTATTTATTTAATATTTATGAGTGTTTTTCCTGCATGTGCTTGGTGTCCTCAGAGGTGAGAAGAGGCCAGGGGTTACTCTAAAACTAGAGTTAGTGGGTGTTGTGATCCCCTGTATGGGTGGTGGTAATCTAACCCAGGTCCTCTGCAAGAACACCAAGTGCTCCAAACTGCTGGGCTAATCTCATTGTTTTCCATAAGCTGATAAAGATGAGGAAATTAAAATAATCCCATTTGAATCACCTTTGAATGTGCTTATAATCTAAAACAATTAGAATTACATATTTAAAGGTTTTTTTTTTGAGACAGGGTCTCTCTATATTGTCCAGGCTGTCCTGGAACTCATTATATAGACCAGACTGGCCTCAAACTCACAGAGATTCTCCTGCCTCAACTTCATGAGAGCTTCACCACCATGCCAGGCAAATCTTTAAAAGAAATTTATTTTAATTGTGTATATTTGTATGTGTTTGTGCATGGGTTTGTGTACATGAATGCAGCACCCATCGGGGCTAAATGAGGGTGTCAGGTCCTCTGGAGCTGGCATTAAAGGTGGTTTTGACAATGTCCGACATAAAGTGCTGAGAACTGAACTATGAAGAACAGTAAGTGCTCCTAACATGGAGCAATCATCTCTCCAGCCCCATGATTGTGTGTGTGTGTGTGAGTGTGTGTGTGTATCTGTGTGAGTGTGTGTATGTGTGTGTGTGTATATGTGTGTGTATGTACTCTATTTTTAAGAAGGCAGTGCCACACTTATGAAAAATAGAGACTTATATCTTCAGGCTGAGATTGCAATGACCCCATAGTCTGGACAGGACACCCAGCTCCACTCTAGACACCTGCATGGCCGAGTTACTTCCTTTTTCAAACCCCAAATCCTCACTTCTAAACTTGGATTACACTCTCCTTTCTTCTGGTAGTGACGCTAAGATAACTAAGTAAGGTAAAAGTTCTTCATGAAGTAAAAAGGGTCTTTTTATTCGCCCATGGAATTGAGAGAGATAACTTCTAGGGATTCCCTATCCATTCCTGCATCCCACAAACATGTTTTTCTTCTCTGCCGGAGTTGCCGCTTCTTGTGCGATGTCATAATCACTCTCATTCTTTAGGATTTGACGTGTCTCCTTTTTATAGACAATGTCAGCTCTATCTGTGATGACTCCAGTGAAGGAATTACCCTGACCTCCCACACACTTCGAAAAGTTAGAATAATCCCACCAATGTAATAATGATTGATGCACCTGGAACTTTATTGCCTCAATAATAATAATAGCTAACATTAATTGGGCATCATCCATGTGCCAGGTGCTTTGTGTATATTATCTCTCATTTAAATGTCACTCCTTGAAGTTAAAAACTGCCACCAGCCTCATTTACAAATCAGCAAACTGAAATTTAGGAAGCTCCAGGGAACTGTTCCACGGTAGATATTTAGAAAACGGCAGAGATGTCATGAGAAGATGGCGTGGATGTCTTTGCTGCCCAGACAGCACAATGACTCACCAGAACCCCACGATAGGATGCCTCATGACACTGCAGACAGAAGAATAAGCATTTTTGGTCCATGTGTCTGTTCCATGCCAGAACTCACCTCTCATGAGCCCTTTGTCTCCTTGCTTATAAAATGAGTCAAACAGGTCTGAGGATGTCTGCGGAATGTAGATGGTGTCTTCCATGATCACCAGCCAATGGAGTAGAGAGAGGGTCTACCTGGTTGAAGAGCTCTTGACCTTGACCTTCAACCTTCTGCTTTTTAGCTGCATAATCTCATCAATAACTAGTGAACCCCTACTGTCTGGGTGATCCCCAAGGAGGAGCCTTCCAACCCCCATACCCACCAATGTAAGCTGCTCCGTCAGTCACCATGTACTTGTTGCGGTTTAATTTGGGAAAGGTCTGGTTCTTTTGTTCCTTTGTTGCACATGCATTCTCTCTTTCCAGGTCAAAAAATTTCTGTAAGACAAAAAGCCAAAAAAAAAAAAAAACAAAAAACAAAAAAGAAAGAAAAAAGGATAAGAAACAAAGCAGGTCAATCTAGAATGTTTTGGGTCTTGTTCACAAGTACAAAGGAGTCTATTATCCAAATATCAACAACAGACCTCATATTGGGTTATTAAAATGACACTCTTGTTACTTTGTATAGAGGAAGCTATTTTTACTCTCCATCCATATAGGCAACAACAAAGAAAATTAGCATGCTCAACTAGCTCTGTGATTAACTTTGCAAAGCTAACAAATGAACATAAAATTCCTTCTCTGAACAGGGTACGAACAAGAAGGTTGTTTAATTGTCACTGCCTTATTCAGCAGGGCACACTGGCACTAGCAGCAGCCTCCAGGCGCTCCGTGTCATGCATGCTAACAAACTGAATGAATATTCTCACCCAGTGCATACATTATGTCAATGACTAGTTGATTCATCTGAGAATCCACAAAGGTCAAAAGAGATTTTCCCACAAGAACAAATAGTTTCTGTTGTAACACCTAATTTCACAGACTTTTTGAATGGGCAATCAAAAAAATCACAAATTCAAACTATGGAATTCTAATGTCAGCATGAAATTATCATCATCATCATCATCATCATCATCATCATCATCATAGCATTCTACTGCACCCAAGGCCAAAAATGGAGGAGCTTGGGAAATGAGGCCTGAGTATAGTGAAGGCAGGAATCAGAAATTTGGCCAGCATTGAATGACGTGTCCATTGTGAATGAGGCCATGGGACTCTGAAGGTTGAGCGTAGAGGAGACACACATTGAAGTCAAGGGTCTCAGATCCCCACTGCAGTGGAGAACATGGATTCTAGAAGATCTATCAGCTCTAGCCTCTGTGTCCTGGAAGGGAGGAGAGGCAGAGGGCAGATGTGGAAGATGAGACTTCATGTGTAATTTTAAGGTTCTGCTTGTTCTAATTTGTGTTGGGGAAATGCTGAGAATTGGTCTAGTCTTATACTTTATGCTGGGAGAAGGGTAGCCCATTTAGATTTTCCAAAAAGCTATTCTGAGCTTCATGGGGGGAGATTTCTGAGACAGCAGAAACCAGACCAGTCTTTGACAGTGTTAGAGATCTAATGTGTTGGGAGAGAAGCAAAGAGATCAAAGAGAATTGAGGTAATTTCTTAAATAAAATACTTCAAGTTATCTGTGAAAATATTGTTAGATTAAAAAAATTTTAATTATGTATTGATGTTGAAGTGTGGGTAGATGCATGTAAGTGCAGTTGCCCACCGAGGACAGGACATTGAATTCCCTGGAGCTGGAGGTCTTGATAGTTGTAAGTCATCTGAATCACCTGATGTGGATGCTGGGAACTGAACTCTGGTACTTCCCAAGAACAGTGCATGTTTGTATTTGCGAAGACATCTCTGTAGGCCTGAACTGTGACAATTGTGCAAGTAGCAGTCTCCTTCTGATGTCCTCAATGATATCAAGCTACATCTGAGCAGGTGATGAGAGAGCATCTACTTAGAGACAGAGACCCCTGCTGGTCCCAAACCATCTATATGCCTTGTCAGGGCTCTGTGCCTCCTACAGACATACTGTATCCAAAGTTTCTATACCCTACTTTTCTTGTAAGAGCTCACTAGCCATCTGTGTCCTAGATGATGGGGCCATGTTTCCTTCCCACCCATGCTTGTCTTGACATTTAAAAATACATGGCCTCTGTTTTATAAAATGGCCAGCAGTGAGCTATTAATGTATGGCTTATTCAAGATTCATGACCATCTGTGTCCAAAATTGTGAAGCCTACGGTATTCTGCAGAGGCTACTACAGTGGCTTCCTCTTTCCTTATAGCCAGCATGCTGTGGAAGCAGGAAGCAGCATGGTGGGCAAGACTCCTGACTTTGGATGAAGAGAAATCAAGAGTGACTGTGGGAGGGAATGTACCATGCTGTGTGCCAAGCTCCTGGAAACCTCATAAACTTGACAGAAGATCCCCTGATTTCACTCACTGGCCTACGGGATGCATGTTGTTCACTGGGGGATACCAGATCATAGAAAATAACTAAGAAAAATCTGAACCATGCTTGATCCATAGGAGGGAGCCCATGTCTGGTACTGTAAACCAGGGCAAAGGCCCACAACTTGGAAGGACGTATGCCCTATTGGCCTATTGGGAAAGTCATTGCCTTTGTTTTGCTCACTGGGCATGCTGTGCCTGTCAAATTGTCATCTAAATAGCTATGTGCATGTACATATATTAACTTTGCTATCAGCTTTGGTCTATGAAGCATCTTTTTGTCGTGGTCAGTAGTTAATATAGAGACTCATGATATCGAGGAGAAATGACTACTGAATGCCCAGCTATAGATGGAACATCTATACTCCAAGGCACATGGGACCTCTTGAGAGATGGGAGAAGGAGCAGGAGAGGTGGAAAACCCTCACTTCTTGGCATGACATAGCTGTGGCACCTTTGAATTTAAAATAAACTGTGATAACCTGAACAAAAAATCCATAAGACTGGGTCTATCAACAGTCTGTCATGGAAGCAGGGGATCCAGATCATGTGGTACCACCCTTCCCTGGTGATTTATGAGCAGTTTGTGCTTGAAGGGGAAGGGAGAGGCATTTTCTTCAGGCGTGAAGCTACTCATGTAGGGCCCATGCTCCTATAAACAATGCTTCTGTGAATAGCCACAATGAAACTCACCAGAGAAAAAAATGACTTGGGCATTGCTCTGAGTAATTTTTGCTCTTCTCCCTGGCACTAGAGCCTATCTTATCACTGCCTTTACTAGATCCTCTGCTTTATTTTTTTAACTGCCTTCATTTGTGAATACCACTTTAGCACATATTTTGAACACTACTAGTTTCATGTCAGACATTAGGAAGAGACAGTAACTAGACATCTGGTTTCTGTGTCATCTGATTTCCTTGGAGTCCTGAGTGCCACTTCAGTGTCCTGGATGATGCTGTCCCTGAGATGAAATAACCATAGCATTCTCGTCTCTATGAAGAGGCGCCATACACAGCTGGACTGGTCTCTCGGGCCTTTGCTGGCTCCCCTGTGTCAACCTCTGCTTCCACTCGAGTATTTGATTTCAAATCCTAGCTAACACCCTTATCCTGTCTTGGATATTTCATAGACGTTCAAATATGGCCCGAAAGACAGGTGACTGGTTATAACCACAAATCTGTTTTCCTAGTTCCAATACTTACAATGATTTGTGAACTCACAGACATGGGGGTGTCAGCTTCAGTTTTAAAAATTGAAGCTAAGTACAAGAGTTGTAGAGAGATAGGGATGGAAACTCTAGGGTACCCTGTTATGGGAAGGAAGGAAAATAGATAATGGGTGCTGAGATTGTCCGACCAGGATAGTCCTCAAGGCTATTCCTTTTGTCCCAGTGTGATGCAGCTACCCTTCTGAACACACATAGCCAGAGACCCTCTGTCTCGAGATATTGAGGGTCAGGGATAAGTTGGAAGCTATGATTCAAAATGGATACTTCAGAGACCCTGTCATCACATGTTGACAGATGTCTCAGGAAGAACACCTGTGTGTGTATGGTGTGTGCTTTCATAGACACACACAGGGAATAAAACCCTTTTTATTTAGTAACATGGTCAATAAAACACTTACAACTTTCAAACTGCAGTTGGCTATTTCAGTGCAAATAGCTTTAAGAGACGAAATGAAGTTAAATGTGAGAGGGTCAGTCTCCTTCCAGAAGCTAATGAGGAGCCGGACTTTAACGCTTCGTAAAACTAATGCTTCTCTTATTTTCCCGTCCAAATCTGGCCAGTATGTCCTGCAGAAAACAAATGAAGAAAACTCTTTGAGAAAAATTTTTTTACCAAACAACAGAATGCTTCGCTGCTCCTCTGTGCGTCGCTCTATTCTGTAACACGCCAGCCGTCTTGCGGGATAGATGGGTGACGCAGGCCTTTGGAGTCAGGCATCTCCTTATAGAAGGTCTTATACCAGGGTTACATATGGAGCTTGTAGAAAGTCTCAGGCCCACGGGGTGAAGCCATGTGGAGCTAGTGCTCAGATAGACTGACTGCCTTGGATTGTCCTCAGTAAGCCTCCAAGGCTTTCCAGGCCTTATAATGTGGTGTAAGCATCTATTCTGGGGCAGGGTTAGCTAGGAACCCCACACACCTCTTCCTGGATGTCATGCCAGCCTGTATCCTTTGATGACTTCCCTTACTCTCCAGTGAACTCCTGTTATCTGAGTTGCCCAGTGCTCTTATTTCCAGATGTCTTTAGTGCCATCTCCCCAGACCCAGCCTCCCACAGCTCCTCTCTCTCCTTCCTCTGAGCTGCACGCTGGGAGTCCTCCATCAGGCCAACAGTTTCCTCTGCCTGCTAAGCCTCTTCCCACACCAGTTTGTCCAGAAGACACAGCTTCTCAGCTCTTGCCATGAGTTTCCACTACCACTTGGCCTCTAGGCTTAAGGTGTGCATGTGGCCTTCTGCTCCACCCCGTCCCCATCATGTGATTTCAGATGTGTCACTTAATCCTCGTGTTAATAGAAATCAGCAAGTTGTCCTGTCTTAACTCAGCCTCCAACCATGCCTTCTCTCGTGTCTTTGCAGGGATTCGGCTTTCTCATTCAAATAGTGCCCTGATTCAAGACTTCATTGCTGCTTAAACTCAGGCCATGTAATTGGGAACTGTGACCTGTCGGTGCTGTAACCACGGCATCTCTGGGGGCTTCTCTCTGTCTGAACCTCTCTCTATCTGACCCCCCCTGCCCTCTACAGCCACCAACACGACTGCTTAAAAACAGGTATGGTTTTGTTACTCCTTTCATTAAAACACCACAGCCTCCCCCAGATTGTGAGATTGTCTAGTGAGAAGCCTCCCCTAACCCACCCCGCCCCCCCTTGTCTTCCATCCCTGCTTCCTCTCCAGCGTGGTTTCTCAATGCCTTATCTTGGGTTCTGTGATCCGACACTGAGCCCTTTCCTCCACTCTGAAGTTTTCTCACACTGTTCCTGTTACCTGGAAAAATCCCTTTTCCCACTCCCCTCCATTTATCTGCTTCATGAACTTTTTATGATGTAATTTAAGCAACACTTGCTCAGTAAGATCCTCTAATCCTGACATGGCATTGTGGGTGCCTTTCACTGTACTATTTTCTGCAAACACCTTGGTTTCATTTATATATCTGTGTTCCAATAATCTTCCCCGTGTCCCTCTCCCCACTTCAAATAGCATTCCAGGGACCACATGCATTCATGCTCTCTGTAATCATAAATGCACACATCTCAACAGACAGTTGTTAAATTTATACATGAATGAAGGCTGTTAGTATAGTAGTTTCTCCTTGCCCAGGGGGATCTTCCAGAGACTCCCAGGAAAGGCCTGGAAAACTTCAGATACTACCAGATACCCTATGTTCTCTCCCTGTTCTTCAATGTGCAGACTCAGCAAATAAGGCACTGGCAATAATAACTAATAAAGCACAACAATTTTAGCAATATAATATACTATAATAAAAGCTATTTAAAACTCAAAAATTGAATTTTAAAAAATTGTGTTTTATTACTCCCTTGAGAATACCATACAATATATTTTGATCATATTCATTCCCCTCCACAAATTGCTCTTTTTTCCAGAACTTTCCATTTGATAATTTTAGACCGTGGTCAAACTGCAGGAGGGGAGGACATGTTCATGCGTCCTTTACAAATGTACCTATGTCCTTCTGAAAGATGCATTCACATGACTGAAGAGACAAATCAGGGACAGCTCCAAACTGAGACCTAGTGAATCACTGAGAGAAAGAGTGTTCATTGGCTCTGGCAGGAACAAGTGAAATTGGGCTTTCCAGTTTTAAAATGTAATTTTAAGAATAAATTTTTAGATTAGCATCCAAGGTAATAAATAGGTTTTACGGTAGCATCTTCACACCTGCCATCATGCCTTGCCCTCATTCATTAGCTTTGGTGGTCACTGTTCATTTGTGGTGCTGGGGAATGAACCCAGAGCCTTGCAAACATTAGGCAAGTGCTCTCTGCCTGAGCCAAATCTCCATCTGAGATTCTGAGGGTTTTTTTTTTCTGAACTGCAGGATTTATTGCATCATCATCACACTGTCTGCTAGCTTGAAAAGCAGCAATCCCAACATTGTCTCTAACTGGTGATGTATATTTAGTTCATTTCTTTCTTGAGAGTTCATAACTTTCCTCCTTTCATGTAGGTATTTGGCAATGCAGAGATGAAATTTTAAGTCTAAGATGTTAATTAATTCTACAAACACACCAAATTCCCTTTTGAACACCCCATTTTAGGATTAAATAAATGCAAGACAAGTTTTATTTGTATGATTGAGAAGAATGTAATCATGATCTGAATGTTTGAGCTATGTATTTATCTTTGGTGCCCTTTTGTTTACAAAGCTGGAAGTTGTAGGGAGAGCTCTTAGATACTTGTGCCACTGACCATGCCTAAAGTGGGCATATAGGTTTGAATTTTGCTTCTGTCCATGTGCCTGTAGATACTCCCAGTAAGCTTGTTTATTTGCTGAGATGGGCTTGGTGGAAACTTTCTTTTGTCTGTTGACTACCTCTATATTTGAGGTAAATAAATATTTCTTTTTAAATTAATTTTTTAAGGTTAGCCCACGAAACAATGAGTTTCATCATGGCATCTTTACACACAATACATGAAGTATTTGAACAACCGTCCGAATAATAAATAACTAAGATAAGAACTTTCAGATTGGTCTCTGGATCTTTGGACTTGGTTACATTTTCCCCTACTTGTAAGATTTTTGTTTCATTGAGACAAGGTTTCAACCTGTAACCTATCCTGGACTTAAATGATGTAGCCTTGGACTATCCTGAACTCGTGACCCTCCTGTCTCAGCCTCACCAAATCTGGGAATACAGGTGTCCACCAACACACACCACAACCCTCCCGCCCCAGACTGCAAAAGGCCTTAGTTTTGGCCACAGAAGGCCACGGAACAAAGTTTTATTAGTTTTGAGCCATCACCATCCTAGAACCATATGAACTTGGTCCCCCATACTCCTTGGTAACAGGACAACCAGGCACAATGTGCTATGTTTCCAGAGGAAAGCTGACATCTAAAAATTAGTCTAAAGCCAAATAAATGAGAAACAAGAGGGGCATAAAGAGGAGGCATAGGAATTATGGGAAAGTGTGTGGGAAAATCCATGAACATTCAGAAGATGCATAATGTCTTAAAGTGGCTCTGTCTTAATAACATGCCTCTTATAGCTCAAAATGCTTTCCCACTGTTATGAAGTGACCCATTTCTGGCAGGCTTTTTGCAATCTTACAGTCATTTGCATAGAGATGCTACACATTATGCATATGTGGGACTGGCAAGATGAAAAATATTCAAGTAATATACGGCACACTTAATCATTTAAACTCACTAAATGGTTATTTTGAAATTATAATTTCCCGAATGATGAAAGTCTTCATTTGCAGTCAGAAATATGCATTTTCAAAGTGTTTCCTGGTTAAACTAATTATTGAAAAACACCGACAAGCACCCAAAGATCTGCCCTTGCAGCAAGCAAGTGAAAGAGGGAATTCCTGGGTATGGTCCCACATTATGTGTCATTATTCTCCCGAGAGCTTTGTCACATGCTCAGCCCCTGAATCATTTCCAAGTTACTATGTGGTCAGACAGTGAGAAATTGAGAGCTTATCCACTGTAAAGATACTCTTCTTCTCATACTGTCTGAAAACATGTATTTTAAATTCCTTTCTCCTCCTCATTCTTGAGGGCACAGAGGGATATGCTTTTCTCTTTAGGTAATTTTCAAAGCGACATTTACCCAACCTTCTTTCTGAGATTGCTCCCGTGCCTGTAGGATAAACTAGTGAGGTACTCCTGCAGAGTGAGAGCCTTTAAATTGGACACACTTGGAGAAGAAACGCATGACGGACAAATTGCAGGTGCACACTACAGCACGACAGCATCTCAGAGCCCAGTGGCCTGAGCATCTCATAGAACACACTGGAAAGCCCCTGACCTTTTTGTGCTGGTACTGGAGATAGGCAGGTAGTCCGTGACAGCAATGTACACGTACTGCTTGGCATCATCAATCACACTGTAGATGGCATCGATGTCAAAGCTTCTGTTTTTAGGACAAAAGAGTTTGGGAGAATTCTGTGAAGATATAAAACCCAAGATGTTATAGTTGAACTATAGGCATCTGTGGATTTAAAATGGTTTTATTTGTGTTGACAGGTGTTGGTTTATTGTTAATTACGTGGTATGCAAACCTTTTCTCTGCTTTTCTTTTTGTTTGTTTGTTTGCTTTTTGTTTTTCAAGACAGGGTTTCTCTGTGTACCTTGGCTGCCCTGGAACTAGCTCTGTAGACCAGACTGGCCTTGAACTTACAGAGATCTGTCTGCCTCTTCCATGCACCACCACCCCAGTTTCCTTTCCATTTCTTGATAAGTTTATAACAAAGCTAGTTCACAATTTGTCAACGTTAAGGCAGGATGTGTCTCAAGTTCTCAAAGTCTGTCTCAGGAGGGAATTTTCGATTCCATGCACGCCTTGCAACCTCTCTCAGCCCTAGGTGATTCTAGAATGCCTCCTGTTGTGTGGCTGAGAATTTTCTAAACTATTATTTGCGGACTTACATACATGTAGAGTAAGCAATTTATTCTAGAAGTCATTTCATCTGAGAAGTGATGTTGGCCATAAAAATATTCAAGACACAAATCCAAAATTTTTCTTTTTTTCTGGATTTTTCATGGAGTTGGGAAGAGGAATGCTGATTGTAGAAAAGTTCATCTATAACTCTCCAAGGGAAACCAAGGTTACTCTGCTGCCCAAATCCATCAAGAGAGTCAGAGAAGAAAGATATTGTACCAGACATCAGCAAAATGGGAAAAAGGCAAATTGCGCTGGAGGCATTTTTCTCATGTCTGAGGTCGTTTGTAGATGCAGTTGGGTATAGCAAAGGGAAGATGTACTTCAGGATCTTCAGGGTTTTTCTAGTGGGGAGGACTGGACAGAGTGTCTCTTGTAGGTCCAGTCTTTCTCTGACAAGCAGTTCCCTGTGGGAAGCATAGGTGCACGAAAAAGAGGATAATTGTATCTTGGAACTGCCTGGACTACAAGGCAGCATGGGACAATAATAGTTCCCAAGTCATTTGTCCCCAGTGCCTCACCCTGCATTGATGGGAATCTCATCCTATCACATGGCTCACAGAATGAATACCACCCCCCAGAAGGGGCAAAGTGGCTACACAGGGGCATATAAAGGGTAAACACCTTCTAGGCACCTAACAGTCCTTGTGATGGCTATTAGTGATTGTCAACACAACAGGCTCTAGAATTATTGAAGAGATCAGGTCATGGGCACGACTTTGAGAGAATTTTTGGATTAGGTAAACTGAGGTTTACCACCTTTACTGTGGGCTGGAACACCAAACTGCATAAAATGAGAAGGCAGGCTGGGCACCAGCATTAGGCTTCTGCTGTTGCCCAGATGCAGATGTCATGCGGGCGTCTGACCCATCCTTCTGTGTCTATGCCTTCACCACCACGATGGACCTCCCTAGAACTAACTGTAAGCCAGAATAAACCCTTCCTGCATCCAGTTGCTTTTGTAAGGTATTTGGACACAGCAATGAGAAAGGTAAATAATAAAGTCCTCCTGGCCAGCCAGGTATACTTCTGCTTAGCTATTTTATTTTCTGAAGGAAGATAGACTGCCATTCTTGGCAGGTGGTGCATTCACATTCTCTTCCTAACCCATAGCCTTGTCTGTATGACATTTAACAGCTAGGTACACTTGGCTTTCAGGATGAACTCCTGTCTCGGGATGAGGATCCCTGGCTGTTATCCTGTCCCCAGCCCTGTATTCCCAGCCCATGACTGTGTCCTTGTCACCTCTGCTTCTTGACATTTGCTCAGCTAGGCCCTCTCGGTGACATGCTTCCCTGTTTGTCCTACTGAATCGCTCTCTGAATTCCAGCTCAAATACATGTCTTCCACGAAACATTTTCTTGCTTTCTTAGATCTTCAGACAGAGGCTACCTCTGGGCTCCTTGGCTATGTGTTTCTTTTTCTTTCTTATCAACTCCCTTCCTCTCTTCCATCGTCCTTTTTTTTTCACTCCATCTCTCCATCCCTGGGCTGGTGGGAACCAGGGCTTTCCTTAGGCTAGGCAAGAACTTTACCTCTGAGCTATATCCCCAGTCCCGGCTTCACCATTTCAATCAAGTTGTCCAAGGACATTGGTGACTCAGCCCTGCTGTACAATCCTTCCCATGATCCACCTCCAGAATTTACTTTCTACCTTATTTAGCACATTCAGAGATATAATTGCTTAAGCTTGCCTCTCTGTCAGCCAGACTGTTTCTAGCTTGATCTTAGGGGTTGTGTTTATTCATTTTCCTATATCATTAAAATCATACATTCAAATGATTTAATTTCCACAGTCTGTTTTGTCTGTCTTAGCTATAGCTCAGGGTTCCATGGAGCAGCTGAGAAACTTCTCTTTGGACAGGTTCCTGAGCTCTAAAACATATCAAAACACTCGTGGTTTTGTTTCAGTTAAGAACTTCTAGAGTTTCATCCTGGGATCCCATCTGGGCTTTGCTTTTGGAGAGAAGCACATTTAGGTGGGGAATGGTTGGGGACCACTGTGCCCTGATGTCAGGGGAAGAGTGAAGGCTTTGGTGATTTAGGCCTGATTCCAGACTTAGAGCTCAAGAATGAATACTCTGTCTACTTGAATCTTCCTTCTTTCTCGCTCTATACCCATTTCCTGTCCCCTTTGTCTCCCTCTCTTCCTTCCTTTCATGAGACAGACTCTCACTATGTAACCTCAGCTCTCCTGGAAATCTCTCTGTAATCCAAGCTGACCTTCAATTTGTAGCAATCCTCCAGCCTCTAAATCCTGGGATTACAAGCACCACTAGGCATGGCTAGTCTGCTTCTTAATGGAGTTAATAAGAGTCACACAGTCTCGCACTGGTGCACTCCGAGGACTGAGTAGGAGAATAGTCTGTTTTCTGGGTGCGGAATGGGCACGCTGTTGCTCTATTGGCAGATATTCCCAAGTGTCTGCCATGCTCCAGGCTCAGGTCTAGGCAAGTGGCATGTGTCCTTGGATAAGGTGAGATCGGTGCATTGTGGAGCTTCCTTCTGGCACCTGATACATAACGCTGCTTCATTTGTTGGCTGCTTGCATATCTTCCAGCTCTTGAGCTGTACCTATTTTTGTGTGCAGTTCCTGTACCTTGTACTATGCACACCTTACATGCTCAGTAAGTAGCTGTGAAATGAACATGAATGTATTTCATGAATTGATAAATGTTGCAGGTTTGTCTCACCCTAACCTCTATTCCTAGTTGGAGTACCTTCATTCTAAATTTTCCCTCCAAACATATGTGGAAGTCATTATTAAGCATTAATCTGCCTTAGTCTTTTCTGAGTTCCCTTTGCCTAGCACCTGCCTGGGGCTTGGCAGGTACTCCATGTGTATGTTAAGGGAAAGTATGATTGTTTACACCAATGTACTTGCATCTGGGGGCTTGGTTCTACCGCCATAAGCAGTATAATGTTCCTTGATATATAGCAACACAAATGAATGATGAACAGCTCTGCTGGGATGCTAATTGGCTCCCACTGTGCAGAGAAGTGGCTACTATATCCCTCTCAGCACTCTAGAAGGAATATGATAATCCTGGTGAGGTGTGTTCCTTTATTCCACAGTTGAAGTGCAAGGCAAGACTGCAGAGCCCGTTTTATGTTTCACCTGCCTTTACCAATCAAGCATTCTTGAGGCACCTCGTATCTGGCTTAATATAGGTTTTCTCTTGGATCAGTAAGTGTTGGATGTATGCTTTGTTGAGAATTTAATAGGTTTCTGATTTACTTCACAGTTGTCTCCTGGTTTTCAAAATGGTCATGCTGTCTTTCTGGAGTATATACATTGAGATATAACCAAATATGAAAAGAAAACCCACAAAATAGGAGAGAAGATTTGCAAATTTCTAATTCTAAGGGCTTTGTACAAAGAATGTAGAAAACCTCTCTAGGAGCTCTCCCAGTAGACATTGAGTACAACTAAAAGATGTAATCAGCACACAGCAACACTTAAGCCACACCTACCAGAAAGGCTAACATGAGACAGAAATAAAAAAAAGAGTTGACAGGAACATGAACACATGGCAGGTGGGATTTCAGAGTGGTACAACCCATTTGGAAAGCAGTTTAATAGTACCTCAAAATGATGAACAATCAGAAATTCTATTCCTAAGTACAAACCCCAGAGACTTGAAAATGTATTTAGATATAATATTGGATATGAATGTTCACAGGGGACATATGAACAAGAGCTCGAATATAGAAACACCAAATGTCTACCAACCAACACGCACTTAAACAAAATATGGCATATTTACAGTACAATACTATTTAGCCTTGAAAAGAAGCAAAGGAACTGCCTATAAATCCATAAATCCATGCTATAACATGCTTGGAACATGCTAGGTTAAAAAAAGTCACAAAAGACTACATTTTGTATACTACATATAGATAGAATCTCCATGAAAGGGAAGATACACAAAGGTTTGGAACAGTTGTTTCCAGGGCTGAGGGAGGGGAAAACAGAATTCAATTGCTAATGATTATGGCAGGTCCCTTGTGGCGAAGAAAGCATTCTAAAATTTGATGGTGCCCATGACTGCAGGACCTTCTGGATACACCAAAGCTCACTGAACTATAAACTCCAAAAGGACTAAGTTCACAGTAAATAATTTATATCTCGATAAAGCTGCTAAAATGTAAGTACTGGTATAAAGTGGAAGCTTATGAAGGAATATAGTATGATACTTTTTTCCCTTAGCAGCCCTGAGTTCTTTCCAGTGTCATCCCCTCACAGCTAATACAGCTCAGTCTGCATGACTGATAGGTGGATGAACTGAATTAGAACAAGAAGTGGAACCCATCTCGAATCCAGATCAATATAAACAAACAATAGACAAATGAAGCTTTGGCCTATAAAGCAAATACGCAACTTTTTCAAGTACATTAAGGTCTGTGAACAGAAATCTACAAGACATAAACCCCACCATCACCCATTGCCATCTTCTGAGTTCAAATATATGATAATTACAATTAAATGGTACCCAGGCACTAGAAGTCATAAAGATAAAGCTAACCACGTACCAATTTGTGGTTCATGAGGAAATTATAAATAATTTTTATTTTTATCATAACTGGAAATTTTATTTAATTTTAGTGAGCTAGGAATGATCAAAACTCTATATCATAACTGGAAATTTGTATTTAATTTTAGTGAGTTAGGAGTGATAGAAAAATCTATATCATAGCTGGAAATTTGTATTTAATTATAGTGAGTTAGGAAGAATCAGAACTCTATATCATAACTGGAAATTTGCATTTAATTGTACTTAGGAAGGATCAAAAATATAATTTTAGGACTGGTAATTCTTCAAGTCTTCATATGTTCTCTGCTTGTGTTCAACTTAGTTTCAGGACTGTCAGCTTCCAAAAATATGATGTACTATCTTAAGATTTTTTATAACAAATATATTGAACTTAAATTAGTTTCCTTGGCATTTGCTTGGCATATATTACTGAAGAAGCTATATACATTCTGGAATTTTACATCACTATTACTACCAACAAACCCAGTTTAACATTTATTTATTTATTGCTGCTTCCAACACACTGAGTGAGGTCCTAGGATAATCAGTTATAGAGAAGGTATGCAATCTTTAGTGCCTTATAAAATTATGGGGGAATCACCACAAATAATCACAAAGCTCTTATAACACTGGAATGAGAGCAAGAAGCCAGCTCCGAAGGTGGGGCTTCTCTAGTGGTTAAAAAAAATACAGGTTAGACTTTATATCTCCTCAAAATCAGGTGTGTGTGTATGTGTGTGTGTGTGTGTTGTGTGTGTACACACATAAATATGTATATGTATGAATCTTAATGGCATATGAGTATGCTGGTTGAATTTTGTCAACTTGACATAAATCAAGATATATTGGGAAGAGGAAATTTTAATAGAAAAAAATCTTTTCATGAGATGGGCCTGGAAGCAACTCTGTGAGGTATTGTCTTGATCAATGATTCATGTGGGAGAGTCCAGATCGTTGTAGATGGTGCTATTCCTGGGCTGGTGGTCATGGAATAGTACAAGAAAGCAGGCTGAGCAAGCCAGTAAGCAGCACTTCTCCATAGCCTCTGCATCAGCTTCTGACTCCAGATCCCTACCTTGAGTTCCTGCACTGATTTCCCTGTATGATGGACTACACGATGCCAGTTGCATAAGCCCTTTCCTCTTCAAGTAGACTTTGGCCATGGTGTCTTATCACAGCAATAGGAAGCTAACTAAGACAATGAGAGAAAGCATGAAATTTGTCTTTCTGAATCATGGCTAATTTATATCTCCTCTCCACCCATTTTCCTGGAATGAATTTGTGTGTGTGTGTGTGTGTGTGTGTGTGTGTGTGTGTGTGCGCGCACGCACGTGCGTGCATGCGCGCACAATTTTTTTTTAATCCTTTCATCTGCTGAGGGGTATTTCGGCTGGTTCTACATCTTACATTCTGTGAATAATGTAACGATAAACAAGGATCTACAAGTGTCTCTGTAATGTGTTGACCTAAATTCCTTCCAATAGATGATCAGGAGTGATGTAGCTGGATCATATGGTTACGCTCTTCTCAGGTTTTTTGAGGAACCTCCTGTTGATTTTCACCGTAGTTATACACTTTTATATCACCAGGCACAGTATACATGTGTCTCCCTTTCTCTACAGCCCTACTAGCATTTTCTGTCATTTGTGTTCTTGATGATAGCCATTCTAACTTCGGTGAGATAGATTCTAAATGTAGTTTTAATTTGCATTTCCATGATGACTAAAGATGGTGAGTTTTTTTTCATATTTTTACTAGCCATTTGTTTTTCTTCCTCTGAAAATTTTCTGCTTGACTCATCTGCTCATTTATTGATAGGATGACAGTTTTGGGGTGTTCAATTTTTGATGTCTTTATAGATTATAGGTATTAATTCTGTTAGATCGATGGTCAAAATTAGTTTTACTTAGTATTTTTGGATTTAAATTAAAGGTAGAATTGATATTATTAATGGGAAAATAAAATACTAAATCGAATTAAAGAAATAAAAATAGAAAATAAGCATTATGTAATTTTAAAAGGCTAACTACCAGAATATGTGTTTGTCAGTTCATTTTCTAGCTATCTTTCAGATAGAAACTCAATTTTAAAGTTTCCCTAGATTAGAGAGAAGATGCACTCTCATTTCCAGTGATGAGGGGTCAGAACAAAGATCTTACAAGTTCAGTGGGTTTAGCTAAGGACTTGAGGCTCTCTGTGGTAGATATGGCAGTGTTAGAATTGACAAAAGCAACCCATCCTTTACATATAGACAAGAATCTTCCTCACTTATCTCTAAGATTCAAGCCACATGATTGTCCAAAGGGCTGCCCATGCATTTGTTTATTTCTTGTAGCCTCTCATATATTGCTCTGGATCCCTTGTTTGAGGCATCCTATCACCTTGTTGCCTATTGCTGCTATATACAGATTAGGAATACACTTAGGCTTTGGGTACTATTGTTATCTTGAGATACAGTGCAAATGCTGCTTCTAGAGGGGTCTCTGTAGTGATTCCACCTGCTACTGCATTTTGTAGGAGGCAGTAGGGACAAGGGCACCACAAAACCCCCTCGGAACCAGCTAACCTGGGCTCATAGTGGCTTACAAAGACTGAACTGATTCAGGGAACCTGACTGGGACCGACTGAGGCCCTCTGGAAATATGTTGCAATTGCATAACTAGGTCTCCTTGTGAGACTAATAGTGAGAGCCGACACTGTCTGACTCTGTTGCTGCTTATAGTACACGTTCCTCCTGTTGGATTGCCTCAGTCAGCCTTAATAGAAGAGGAGGTGCCTAGTTCATCCCATATCTGAAGAGAAACAAAGGAGGAGTGGATGGTGATGGGGATGGGGGTAGGGGTGAAGGAGGGGGGAGAAACTTGAAGGAGAGGAGGGAGGGAAAACTTTGGTTGAGATGTAAAACCAACCAACCAACCAGCCAACCAAACAACCAAACAACCAACCAACCAACCAACCAACCAACCAACCAACCAACCAACCAACCAACCAAGAGGCTCAGTGCTCTGTGGAAGTCCTTCATACCCGTTTTCAAGCCTTCACATTTATGTGGATCTGTTATTTTAGACAAACAGGTTCACCCTGCTTTTGACCATCTTGACCATCGTGTACTCCCTTCTGAGCATTCAGATCATCCTTTCATGTTAAAGGGTAAAAACGATGTAGTGTACTACTGTCTGATAAATGTTCTCTGGTACATAAGAGTCGTTGGCATAAACACCCTGGCACCTATCCAGGGAGAAAGGACAGAAGTCAGGTGGGAGCATGATTAGAGAGGACTCAATGAGCACCAGAATGAACTCAGGAATATGGTTCAGGTCGACTGGTGAAGCCTCACCCTAGGTCAGGTGCTAACCCTTAGTTGTTCTAGAATTTGGAGAGACCGGGGTCAGAGGCCTAGATATGCACAATCCCAGTTCCCAGTGAAATCATGGTGGAGAGGGTAGTGGGGTGAAGAGGTGCGGGGGGGGTGCTGGTTTTCACCAGTCAGAAGCCTCACACATCAGGGGTGGCCTTGTGCTGCTCTGCCCCAAGCAAATACATCAGCTCTGGCTTTGTCTGTTTTCCATACTAGCTTCCCCAGATTTGTCTCAGCAGACTTTCCCTGTTAGATACATCTGGGAATCATGGAGGAAGGACTCATCGGCTGTGGTGTCAGCCCACAGAGTTGGGGCCTCTATGGTGCTTCCCACGTGATGGACCTTGTGCCACTGGAAAGTTTTAGTGTCTTCTTTGTAAAATGGCCACAATGGGATCTTCATCAAACCACTCCCACAGGCTCAGGGAATGTTGCAAAAAAAAAGTGCAGGAAGATTGGAAGAGCCAGAGGTCGGTAGGGACTGTTGTGCAATAGAATCTTCTGGATATGACAGGGCTGTTGTACTCATGGACTCATACACGACCTGCATAATATCAAGCCAGTCAGCATTCTATGATACAGGAGGGGTCCCAAGGACCATCTCTAACTGAGACTATTGGCAGTTTGTGGCTTCTAGGGGAGGGAGAGTCAGTTTTCCTCACATGTGTGGTCTCTGGTATGCTGCCCATGTTACAGTCAATGGTCTTACACCACATGGGCAGCACTAACTGGACTCGTGGGTTATAAGAAAAAGAGGCTATGAGATTGGGATGTGAGGGGGTCTGGGAGGAGTCAGAGAGGCTGGTATACAGAGCCTTTGGAGGACAAAAGTTGAGGGTTTGAAGCAATGAGGGTGTACAACTCACCGACACAAAGGCTTGCGACTTGGTTTCATTTAACTGGAGTTGAAGTTTCTTCTCATTGTCATAGACTCCGTAAAGTCTCTTGGACCAGGTCTGAGGTACTCTGCTTTTGAATTTTAATGAGCTATATAAAGCGAATATCCTTTGTAAATCTAGGACCAGGCAGCTGCAGTTGTAGAAGATGACACCAAGTTCTTTCATCTGTGAAATTAAAATTGAGAGCATCAATGTGGGGTGCAATTGGTGCTGTTTTTTTTTTTCTAAGAAAAATGCTAAGAGTGCTGTAGCAGAGATCTATTTTTTTAATGCTATTTTTTTTGTTGTTGTTCACAGAAGTCTGTAGATAGGACCACATTGCAGCATATGGAAGAAATGTACCCTAAAATGTACATATACAGGAAAAGACCTTTTCCTCCATTCTTGCATTTGGCCTTTTACAGAGACAATTTTACCAGCTACAGTTTTAATATTGGCTTCTCACATTTTCCCCTCAATATCATTTTTTAAAGGGATACTTAAGCAGCAAGACAATGACCCTCTATTGCATCATTTCAGAGTGGTTATAGTTATAGTTCCTGGAGCCATGTTACCTGGAAATTGGCTCCAGCTCCACAGTGTTAGGACAATGTGATTTTTGGGTAATATACTTAATCTCTGAACCTCAGTGTCTTCATGCATAAAGTGGAGGTAATAGTGTTTACCACATAGATGGAGTTGCTATAACAGACTGGTTAATACACTTAAGAACCGTGCTTACAATCATTAAAAATTATGGCAAATTGTTATTCTTACTAAAATTGTATACTCCTTGACAGTAGGAGCCTAACACCCGAAGAGACCATAGAGGTATTTTTTGTCCCTCGTTCCTCAGTGCATGAGAAGGAAAGTGAAGGCCTCAGAGTTAAGCCAAATTACAAGTCAGAGATGAAATCAGTGGTAAATTGGGAATTTGATTGCAGTTTTTGTGAATGGTGGTTAGATATACCCAGGCAAAACCAAAACGACTTCGAGTCTTTGTGAAAAGTTTTCATCATATCTGATTTTCTCAAAGTAACAATGTAAATTTTTGGTTGGAAAAGAGCGGGACACACATGTGAATGCTTTATATGACTTATCTTCCAGTTAAGGAGATAAGGGTTGTTTGGGAGACCTGGGCTCCTGAGGAGCCAAAGCAGGAATATGAAATTTCCTTCCTCCTCTTTCTCCATGAGAGACTGCCTACCATGTAGGGGTTGTATGTCCTTGTTCCCCAGGGCTGCCGGTATCACATACTATGGATGTCTTTCCATCTTCATTTATTCTGACATGTCTTCATGTTTCTAGTTCCATGGCAACCACAAAATTATTTAACCCACTCAGGAACTTGTCGCTATCTTCTTGCTAATGTAAAAAATAACATGGACATCCTTGGGCATATTCTCCTGTGTTCTTGGACATATTCTTGTGTGCATTTGTGTGTAATGTGTGTAATGTGTGTGATGTGCATATGTGAGTGCAGATGCTGGAAGTGTCTAGAAGAAGCTATCAGATTTCCTGGAGCTAGAGTCACAAACAATTGTGAGCCTCTTTGACATGGGTGCTGGGAACCAATTCAGGGCTCTGGAAGAACAATACTCACTTTAACCTCTGAGCCATCTCAGGCCTTTTGTTTAAAAAAACTTTTAATTTCATATTTGTGTTCTTTTGTGAGTTTTATATGTGCCATGTGCATGAAGTGTCTGCAGATCCCCTGGAATTGAAGTTACAGAGATTTGTGATTCATTGTGGGGGTGGGGGGGTGAGGGGGTGGGGAGGTAGGTGGGGTTGGGGGTGAGGGGATGGGGATGTGGTACTGGGAATCAAACCAGGGTCCATGCAGGAGCAGTAAGTGATTTTAATCTCTGAATCTGCTGTCTGGCACCCCACAGTGACTCTTAAAACACGCCCTTTGTTAGACTCTACACACCATTGTTTGTTGTATGGAGAGTTCAGCACAGGAGGGATGACTCACTGACCCACACAAGGCAGACATTTCTAATGAAGATTGAGTGTTGGCTTCCGGGAGTCTCCAGATGGATCCCACACTAGTCTTGCCGGGGGGATCTCTCTATGACCATCTTCATCTTTGTTACTCAGCATCAAGGCCTACTGAGTTGGCTTCCTGTGAGGACGTCTGGTTGTGAACACAGCTTGTTTGCATTTCAGACCAACAGTAATTTCAAGGGCCAGACATTCGTCCAGTAGACAGTTTTTGATCAGTTACTGTTACCCAGCCCTGAAGTTGGCACAGTCCCCATCTCCAGACACCCAGTATAGTCACAGATGAGAAATATCGTGTATCATAAAATCATGACACAATCTAAAATGATGATCTCTACACTGGAGATCATCAATCAGTGGTGTTCCTTCACATAGGGGTGAATACTTGAACAAAAGCCTATCTTCACCAAAGATGTGGGAAGGGGAAGGAAAATGGCTGCCACTGAAATTAGGTAAATTAATTAGGCTTGGGTTCTTACGTAAATCAGCAGACAGCCATTTTTTGGAGACTGAATGCAACTCTTTCTATGGATTCTGTCAAGAAGCTCAGAGGCATTCTCCTGGGAAATAAGGCAGACAAAACGGACTTTTTCATAAGTGTGTATCACTACCATGTGACTAAACGTAGGAACAGGAAGAATTTTATTAGCATTGTGGGCCCTGAATTTATTAGCTGTTTGGCTGTGGACAAGCTCTCCAACTTCTTTTTGTCACCAAGAAAGACAAAAGTCAACCATGACACCTGAGGACTGGTATGCAACCCTTAACCATGTCTTTGGGTTTCTGGGATCTGGTTTGAGCCTTCAGCTTTCTATGAAACAATTTTATAGAGCACTGTTATAGATAGGGCCACCCTGCGGGCATTTATGAAGGACCAAGGCAAAATTGAGACCTTGTAATTGTGACTGAGCACACACAAAAAAAACGTGAACCACCATTCGAGCCATGAAAATGACTAGACATATCTCAGCCAAGCTGACTCACTGTGGTTTATTCCTTTATTCACTACAACTTAGCTTACCTCATTAACGACACCCATATAGGTGAGATTTGCTAAGACATCCACTCTTCCATCCTCCCTCACTTCCTACCAGCATCCAGTCATGAGCAAAGCCTTGCTTCCTCAAGCACGTCCCCAGATCACTGAACGGAAACCCCAAACCTAGAACTCACTCATCAAAGTGCCTCCTGGACCTTCTCACAGCAACTGGTTGTCTCCCTATTCCTGCTGGCTTTTGGCTGGGGGCAGTGACCCTGCTTCATCCCAGCACCCATGTCATAGGGCTGTGAGGACAGACAGTTTGGTGGGGCAGCACAGTGCTCAACAGGTTACTTTTAGACAAAGCACTAGGTGTTCAGCATCACTCTTGTTAAAGTGGCAAGCTGCTCAGAAGCAGCGCAGAGGTACTTCAAGGGAGATGAACGAATGAAAGGCAATAGTGATGCCTGTGGACAAGCACAGAGAAGGATGGTGTATTTGGAAGAGGTTTTCCACTGGCACCTAAAGCCAAATAGTCCTCTTGAGACATTTCTGGCCTCTTTCTGTGATAGCCTTGATCTTAGAACATGAACCAGCACATATTGTAATCTGGGTATCTGGAGAGCCAAATCTTTACAAATGAACGGCCAAATTGGAAGCATGAAATAAAAATGCTTTTTTGATAGAAATTACAGAGTCGCACCCATTGGTCACTGTGTTCTGGGCACTGCTCCAAATGTTTCACACATCTGTGTCTTAAAATCATTTTCTTTAAAAGGCATCCTTTTATACTGACAATTTTCACACAAGTGTATCATAGACTTGGACCACGTTCACCCTTCTCCTGCCCTTTCGCATCTCTCTGTCTTGTTATTCCTACTCATTTCTGTCAGGTAGTCTCACTTCTATTTTCTATTTTCATATCTTATATAGTCTATGGTTTCAAATAACTATATAAAATACTTACAAATGTGAAAAATCATGACATTGGTTTTCCTGAATGACTTAGTTCACATAATGTATATAAAATACTTACAAATGTGAAAAATCCTGACATTGGTTTTCCTGAATGACTTAGTTCACATAATGTATATAAAATACTTACAAATGTGAAAAATCCTGACATTGGTTTTCCTGAATGACTTAGTTCACATAATGTCATGATCTCCTGTTGCATCCATTTTCATGGAAATGGCTCACCTTTACCATCCTTTATGGCTAAATCATAACTGTGTTGTGCATTTATTTAACATTTTTTCATCTGTTGAGCTCTGGTAGACAGGTAGTCTGATTCTGTAAATTGACTCTCCTAAATAGCGCGGTACAACACATCTGCTTTCTTATACCCTTGAAACCCTCCTCATACATGAGGAAACTGAAGTGTGTGGAGGTCAAAAGGCTTATGCAGATACATAGCAAGGAAGAAGGCTGAGCTTATGGAACTTAATAACATTTGGATATTGCATTTGTAGAAACACTTCTTTATGAAGGGATAGCTTTTCATTTATTTGTGTCTTAATTTCTTTTTGCTAATATAATGTTTTTGAGATTTGTAAATAAATTTATTTAAATAAGAAATAATCTTATTTTACATATCAATCCCAGTTCCCTCTCCCTCCCATCCTCCCAGGCCTCCCACAAACCCCCATCCCATACCCCACTCACTCCCCAGGGAGGGTGAGGCCTTCCATGAGGCATCATCAAAATCTGTCAAGTCATTTGGGGCAGGGTGTAGGACCTCCCCCCTGTATTTAGGCCAAGAGAGTATCCATCCATGGGGAATGGGCTCCTGAAGTTCTTTCATGCACTAGGGATAAATACTAGTTCCACTGCCAGAGGTCCCTTAGACTACCCAGTCCTCCTAACTGACACCCACATTCAGGGTGCCTGGTTTGGTCCTATGTTGGTTCCCCAGCTGTCAGTCTGGGGTCCATGAGTTCCCACTTGCTCAGGTCAGTTGTTTCTGTGGATTTTCCCAGCATAGTCTTGACCCCTCTGTTCATCACTCCTTCCTCTCTACAACTGGATTTCAGGAGTTCAGCTCAGTGCTTAGCTGTGGATCTCTGCTTCTGCTTCCATCAGCTACTGAATGAAGACTCTAGGATGGCATTTAAGGTAGTCACCATTCTCATTATAGGGGAAGGGCATTTAAGGTGGCCTCTCCACTATTGCTTAGAATCCTAGCTGGGGTAGTGCCAGATTT